CCACAGCTGGAGTACTGTGTTCAGTTCTGGGCACTGCACTGCAGGAGGGATGTGGACAACATGGAGAGGGTCCAGAAGAAGGCCCCTCGCATGATCTGGGGGCAGCAGGGCAGGCCCTATGAGGAGAGGGGACGGGACCCGACCCTGTTCAGCCTCCACAAAAAAAGGCTGAGGGGGGATCTAGTGGCCTGTTACAAACTAGTCAGAAGGAACCAGCAGGCATTGGGGGAGTCCCTGTTCCCCCAAGCACTACCAGGAGTGACTAGGAATAACGGTCACAAGCTGGCAAAGGGTAGATTTAGGCTAGACATCAGGAGGCGCTACTTCACTGTCAGGGCGGCTAGGATCTGGAACCAACTTGCAAGAGAAGTGGTGCTGGCTCCTACCCTGGGGGTCTTTAAGAGGAGGCTAGATGAACACCTTGCTGGGGTCATTTGACCCCATTACTCTCTCCTGCCATGGCAGGGGGTCAGATTGATGATCTGCTCAGGTCCCTTCCGACCCTACCAACTATGAAATCATGACTTGGGAATTACCCCAGAAGTCACTACAGACTGTACAAGCAGTTCTGGCCACACATTTCACTCCCAAATCAACAGCAAAAGACCTTCTGGGGCTTTGGTTCGGTGCTGATTGAGGGAAGAGCATTGCCTGTGTGGTAGGCCAATAAGAGACACTCCTGTGCTGAACCACCTACCTCACTGCGCCTGACCAACTACCAAGCTCCAAGCGTCTCCCCTGGGGCACCTATGACTGGCTGACCCCCTTCTTGGAGCACACCCATAAGCCTGGGGTAACCACCGCCACCACCTGGACTCAGGTCTCTGTCTGGGCCCTGTGCTGCCCGGGATACACAGGCCTTGTAGACCTGGGGATGTTTCTATAAGCCTGAAGCATAGAAAGTAGCCTCCCTTAGTCAGCCGAGCAAAGGGAGCAAAAAGACATGCTCAATCCCTCTCAAGCATGTACCACATCAATGTCAATGGATAGCTTTAATGGGTAGAGAGGGAAGGCTTTGGGAGAGGTACAAGTTAGAGAAGTATCAAAAGAATAACCCTAAGCAAACAGGATCAGCCTGACAGCCATTTAATACACTTTTAAATTACTGCAAGCTACCTTTCTAGTTAGGTTTCTGGTCATTTACTCACTTCAGCCTCCCAGAAGAGAGAGAGCTACAGAGATCCAGCTTGCTGTGTAAAAGTCCCAACATGTCTCCCCTCCTTCCTGGAGAACCTCTCCCTTAAATAGCCCTCCTGACTTCACCTTCTAGATCCGGTCCAGGGCAGGTGTTGTTTGATGCTGACCAACCAATTTGAAAAGCATTACACCTTGACCTGGACTCGAACCCCTGCCCCCAGGTCAGGAGGCCAGAGCTCAAAACAACAGAGGATAGGTCTATACCCTCTTACCTGACTCAGATCACATACACCATAACCTGGGGCAACCAGATTGACAGACAGGTGAGAAGACTGAGACAAAGAAAGGACAAAGAGAAAGATAAAACCCCAAAAATCTAAAAGTGGGAGTCTGGAAGAGGATACTTCCACACCCTTCTTCCTCTGCTATGTGCAGCCCAAATACTCTGTGATGTAGATTGCAGCCACTAAGAAGTGAGGCTTAACAGGCGCAGCGGCTGCGTAGCCTAGACAGGCTGGATGCAACAGGGGTGCCTTGGAAGTGTGAATAATTAAGACTGCATCTTGCAGTGTGCTCCCTGCCTGTTCAGGCCCAGCGAACCAGCACTTGTGAGCTGAGCTGCGTGGGATTTGGACCCAACCATTACGATCAGTCAGCAGGCTGGGGGAAAAGCAACCCAGTGACCCTCCTGCCTGCAACCAGTGCCTTTAATGCCAGTTCTGCCAAGATGAGGGCTAATCTGGAGAGAGATCCAGCTGCCTTTTGAGCTCCACCACTCGCCCTTCCCTAGTCCCCGTGTTCTGCAGGGCATGGATGAGCCAAACTGGTTAGTAGTGATTTTTTTTAAATTAAAATCAAAACCTCCCCTCCCATTAAAAAGAAAACGGTTTACATCACTTTACATAACACTTCACCACATTAACATCAAATCTCCTCCTTCAACATCTGTCTTCACAGTGAAAATCCCACCATGATTGGTGACTCTGAGCACGTGGCCCATGGTAGCCTATCCAGCTGGCGCATGCGCAAAGAACCCTCCTGGGGAGAGAAGTGGGGGTAATGACCTGACGCACGCGCAGTGAACCCTCAGGGGACTGCTTGGAGGCTTCAGTGAAGCTGGTGCATGCACGGTGAATCCTCCCGGGCGGGGCGAGGGGAGGGGTAGCTGGTGAGCGCATGCGCAGTAAACCCTACCGGGGAGGCTAGAGCCCGTTAAGAGAGAAAGGTGGGCACATGCGCAGTGACACAAGTGAGAGCTTCGGCTTGGTGGGGGGGCGGCTACGGCATACGCCCTGCGATACAAGCGAGCGCATGCGTCCTGCGGCCGCCGCCTTTCGAACGGTCTCGGCGGGCTCACCGCTTCCCGTCAGCGCATGCGCAGTGGCGCCTCAGCGGTCCTGTCAGGGCGGGCGGGCGTGACATGGCGGTGGCGGTGACAGGAGGCGGAAGCGGTGGCTGGTTCCCGGCTCTGGCGCTCGGGGTTTCCCTTCTCAAATGTCTCCTCATCCCGACCTAGTAAGGGACCCGGGCCGGCGGCTCTAGCGGCCCCTCGCATCCCTGCCTGCCGCGTGGGGGAAGGGGTAGTGGCGTCCGCGGCTGCCGCGCACGCGCAGCAGGGTACTGCCGGGGTGGCGGTGTGCGCATGGGTGATGGCCGCTGCGCTGTCAGATTGACCTCGGTACCGTAATTACGTGAATAGAGCAGGACTTTGACTGTAACGAGACCCCTAGGACTTTGATGGTGTATGTGCAAAACTGCATGTGTTACCATTTTGAAAGTGAAGATTCCCCTTGTTGGAGGGTTTTGTTACATTTCTCTCTCCCACCCTGGAGGCAGGTGGCTGGGGTGCTCCATGGGATGCGTGCCTGGCCAGCTCCATGTGCGTTGTGGGGGATTGGTCTGAGGCCCCTGGGCCAGATCCTAGTGCTCCATGGGCTTGATTTGTCCTACTAGCAGTATTTCTGGCACCTCAGGGTATTTTGGCACCCCTGTGGTGAATGAGCCTCCAGGCCCCTTTCAGCCCTGTGATTCATAAATGATTCACTCAGTGCAGCAGCCTTTGCCAGTCCGTGCTCATGTCACCTCCCCACTCTCTTCCTTCTGTGGCTGAGCACGGTATCTGGGCCAGCCAGTGGGTTGCAAATCTGTTCCATTTCTCTCCAAAGTGCATGTTTCTGTGATACAAATGTTCTGTGTTACCCATGATTGGCCTTTTTACCCATAAAAATGATGCCAAATTTGCATATAATGGACTACATGCGTTGCAGCATTTTGTCGTGTAGACAGTTCTGACTCTTCCCAGAGTGCCAAACCTGAGGGCAAAGGCAGCGTGGGGTCTCTCTCATGCTGTCTGATTAAGGAATAGAAATGCAGCGTGGGGTGTAACGGTGTGGGAGTGTTTGGAGTGTTTTTTTCCCCTGGAACCTGAAGTTCATAATTTATCATTTCTGAGACAAGTGAGAATCTGTCTTCCATATTTATTCTGGTTGGGGTTAAATTTGAGTTTGTAATAAAGGCAGTGTTGAATGGGACAGAGAATATTAATGGGCACATTCTGAAGGTGACCTTAAAAATGGGCTGAAACAGGCTAATTGCTGTTCAGACCCCCTCCAAATTTCAAGTTTGATGTGCTCCAGATGGGCGAAGTATGATTCTTGCTCTTTGAGGAAAGCAGTGTAGTCAGTCTTGCGTAAAACCCTTACAGCCGCTTAAGTATTAGCTTTTGAAATAAAGAGTTTGCATAAAACTTTCACAGTAAGATAGAGGCTTCACGCAAGTTGATTTACTTTTTTAAATAATAATAGTTCTGCACTCAAAGTATACATTTACTTTAGAAATTTAGTGTAACTTTTTTTTTTCCCTACCTCCGCTTCCCAAAAACATGTAAACCATTAGGAAAACAATGGACTTCATGTTTCAGGTTCATTTTGGCACTTGTGAAATTTCCACTAAAGATTTTTTATTAAAATTATAAAGTATGAATGCTTTCAGTTGCTAAACAAGTCTATGCAAGTATTCAAAACTTCTTTACTGTCCAAGCCCCCAAGGCTGGGAGTAAACTCCCTCCAGAGGTGGTGCAGTCACCTACCCTGGAGGTTTTCAAGAGGAGACTGGACAGTCACCTCACTGGGGTCACTTGACCCCAGTTATCTTCCTGCCTAGAGCGGGGGGGGCTGGACCTAATGATCTGCAAGGTTCCTTCCAGCCTCTAACAGTCTATGAATCTATCTGTAGTAGTAGCTCTGTATTAATACTATGTAATGTC